CGGCATTCCCGGGGGGGCGGGGGGCACGGAAGGGAGTGGCCTGAGCGCGGACGGGCGCAGGGGCCGAATGAGTCTAAAAGCTGCGAGCTCACTGCCTGGCGCCTTTCTCGCAGCCAGAGGAAAACAGGGTTGATTTAGGGGGGAAACGAGCATTCCCTTTTTTATCATTATTATTGCATTCAGAACTATCTGAGGCCTGAAAACAAGGGACCCCAAATTCTGAAGATGCTGAAATAAAACATAAAAGCTTTCTGTTTACCAGCTCTCTGTGTGGGAAAGGAGCGAGTGCTGCTCCCAGGGCCTCCCCTCCCCAGGGCACCGCTGTGCTGTGTTCTTTGGTCTTCTGTTACATTTCTGGGGAAACTCTGAGCTGTGTTTTTTTTAATATACAGGCAGAAATAACATTTAAATTGTAAAAACACTCACCTAAATGAAATTTGGTTCACCACTGTTTTTCATCTAATTTCACACCAGGATTCCTTCTTCAGGGTCTATGCAACACAGTGTGGTGCAGAGTCTACCCTGAGCACAGCTGGAGGCGTCTTTTTTAATTTTCCATAAAGAAAAGAGGAGATTCATTCCTTTTATACGAGTTACTTTCAAACTTCCAGGGGGAAGTCATATTCTTTCCAAGGTGCTTTTTCAAACCCATCCCACTGGGAGTAAAAACTAACAGTTCATTGTTTCAGTGACAACCCATGAAGGCTAAGGGAAAGAAAAGGTATGAAATGCTTTTAAGAATGCTGAGTTTCTCAAAAGTATATTTGAACATGTTTTAGGTAACAAATGATCAGTAATCCAGATTATTTGCACTGAGAGGGATGCAAAACCCACACAGGCAATTGCAGGAATTTGACCACCCAGTGAAGAGGTTCAGCTATATACCCACAGCCCTGGCCAGTTTTGCTTAGTGGTTAGAGCATCTGCGTGGGTGCTGAAGGGTCCTGGGTTCAATTCCAGCCAAGGGCATGTACCTTGGCTGCAGGATGGATCCCCAGGTCAGAGATCGTGGGTGTGGCAGGCAACCAATCAATGTTTCTCTTTCACATCGCTGTGTTTCTCTCTCTCTCTCTCTTCCACTCTCTCTGAAAAGCAATGGAAAAAATGATGTCCTCAGGTGAGCATAACAATAAATACATATAAAACCACAGCCCAGCAGGTGTGAGCATTGTCCCATGCACCAGGAGGCCACTGGTTCCATTCCTGCTGGGGCCACATGCCCCGGTTGTTGGCTGGATCCCCAGTAGGAGGTGTGCGGGAGGCAGCCGATCAATGTTTCTCTCTCTCATGGATGTTTCTCCCTCTCCCTCTCCCTAAAATCAATTTTAAAAAAACATAATTGCACTATTTTGGAAAACACTGACTTAGACACAAAATTATGAAAATCACTGTATTTTTCTCTTCTGAAACATTGTGGAGTTGAGGTTTCAACAACTTCAGTGTGACTTTATCCAGTAATTTGAAGGATTGTAACTAAGAGACATAAAAGGTAAGTACAAGACACAAGAAAGAATGTTACTGACTTTGGGTCACTGTGGTGAGTTATCAGGCAATTATTTCCACTTACTAGCAAAAATAATCAAGACTTAACATAAAAAGAAATGAAATTTTCCCTCCTAGACAGATTTTTTGAATTGCATTTTTTTCAGATTATACAAGTTTTAACTCTTTTATAGGGAAATTGAAGACCACTGAAAGTTTTAAAGAGGAAAGTAAAAATTATGTGTAATCCTACAATTTAAAAATAACAACTATTAATAATTATATATTTTTTCTCAAATTACATATAGTCATATATAAAAAATATATAATATATGTAAAATAACGAAAGTAATATATAAATCATTTTAGTGTCTACTTATTCCATCATTAGAATACAACATCATTGCTTAATTACTCTCCTATGATTGGATATTAGCAATTTGGGGCTTTTGTATATAATACAGGAATAAGTATCTTTTAATATACATCTTGGTTGAAGTTTCGGCTGTCTCCATAATGGGTATTTCTATGGAGGTAAAAAACAACTAAGGCTTTTGGTCAGTGCTGTCAAGTTGCTTTCCAGAAGTGTTTTGCAAATTTGCAGTTTCACTCAACAGTCCCTAAGGGTGGCTGTCTCACATTAACCATTTTTGTAATCGGTGCTGATTATATGTATATAAAAAGTATCACTTGAATTTTCATGTTCCACTATTGGAAAAGTAGAAATATTTAATATGTCATTGGTCTTTTTCTTTCATTCTTCTGCAAAGTTTCTCTTTATTCCTTTGTCCACTTTTCTGGAATTCGACATGATATACATAGCTTCCATAATTTTATTTATTATTTCAAAACTAGCAATGGTTCTGTATGCAGTACTAATGCATAGTCTGATATTCTAAATAATCAGATTTCAGTCAGTGCTTCACCGTTTTTACATTATTAAGATGCTCTGTATAATTAGAAGGAAATACATGAATGACTCATAGCAGTCTAAATGGAAAGCAATTTATAAATACCAAGAATGGTGATTATCATTATGTAAACACATTAGAGATAAATATCAGAATAATCCTGCAGCCAGTAAATCCCTTAAATTGGGTAGAAAATGATCCCGAACTTCCTATTTACAGGGGACAAAAGTATGACCTATACCGCAAATAGATGTATTACAAAGAAAGTAGAAACTGAGGATTACAAGGCATATATTCTTTTCCACACTACTAAAAAACAAGTCACAGCCTTGAGCACACTGGTTCTGATTCCTTCCTATGCCGAACAAAGTCACGGCCACCCTTCGGCCTTTACCTCGGCGGCTCCTCCATCCTGCCTTCCCGCGCAATCCATGCTCAAGGCTGCTAACAGAGACGCACTGGCTATTCGCCCTCCCTCCCTTCAGCAATTTGCTACCGCCCCAATGTCCACACCAACTGGCAGCCAGCTGCTAGGGAGCTTCATAGCCTCACCTACACAAAATCTCTCCACCAACCTGTTGCAGCACTCCTCCCCAGGCTGTAAGTTTCCAACTTTAGAGGCCAGTGATTTCCAGGAAGCCACGGGGAAAATTCATAGCCTAACTAGCAGTCTAAGAATGGTAGAAAAGACGTAGCCCGACCTTCAGGTTGCACATCTGGTTCTGTCGCTGATTAGCTTTGTGACCCAAGTAAATGCATTTGCATAATTTTTCCTGAGCTTCGGTTTCATGACTTTCCTGTGGCATGATAGGGAAAGTAGAATTAACAAAGGTGAGATACATGGGAAATTTTACCCTGTGCTTGACACAAGGCAACTTCAAGCAATATCAAGTCTTTTCGATCCCAACTGTTTTGTGAGCACTTTCAAAAGTAATAGATTCCACTAGGAGGCAGCACTAGCACACAAAGAACTAGTTATGCCACGCATACACACACACACACACACACACTCATTCACATACATCCACCACACATTCACACACATGCATCACATATACTCTCACATGTACAAAAAGCACTAAAAAAACATACACACACAAGGGATAAACATCCACACCAACCACACACACTCTCACAGAGACATACTCCCCCACATAGGCACACACCCCAAGCTGTTTCCTTTCCTTTCTTTCTTTCTAGCCTTTTAATCTTTTATTTAGGGATTAGGGTGGGGAATAATCTTCACGCCAGTAGTTGGGAAATTTCACTAACGAATACTTATTGAATTTGGAGGCTCAGAAATGAGACCCCATATATCAGGAGATTGGTCAATAATTTCTTTACAAAGGAGAGAATTCCTTTTCTGTGCTATAAACTTCTTGCAGAAATATGTTACAGCTTGAGAGACAAGTTAAATAAAACACAGGCACCTTTGCATTCAGAAGCCCATCCTGCCATAATCCAAGAGGAGAGGCTCACTGGGCCTGCAGTCTCTAGTTAAGTAACATCACATAGATGGGAAGATGAAATTCAGCCAAGCTAAAATATCAGATGATAACCAGCAACTTGTGGTTATAGTTTCATTCCTCCTTCAGTGGATTGCGGGGGTGGGG